GAAGCTAACAGCACCCAAGAGATAGGTCAGGGCTGGCTGGCCACCCCATGGGACCACACTCCCCCACAGAGCCCTCCCCTCCCGCTGGCCCCCCCAGCTCATCTCCAGTCTCCTGCCTCAGGAGGTTGGACATGAGCAGGGAAATGAGCAGGAGGCTGGAGATGATTCAGGGATTCTCCCACTCTGCTCCAGCCTCCTGATCGCTTCCCCTGCTCAGCTCCTGTCCTCCCCTAATCGCTCCCTGTCTCGGCTCCAGCCTCCCACACTGCCCACAGCTTACCGGCAGTGGCAGCAGCGATCGGGGTACTCAGGGCCTCGTGGCACAGCTCCCTGTGGGGCTCAGCCCTGGGCACCTGGCACCCACACTGCTGCATCACTTGGGTGCAGCCCTGCTTGCTAGGGCGCCATGCGCTGTCAGGCAGCTCGGAGGCACTGCAGCTGTCACCTGGGGCTCGGTGCCACTGAGTCTGAGCAGCCCCGAGCTGCCAGACAGTACGTGGCCCTGCCTGGTGCCCTGCGGAGCTGGGCCACACCCACACGACGTGGCAGCAGCAGCAGTGTGGTTGCCAGGGGCCAAGCCCCGCTAACCCACACTACACAGGGGGCCTGTGCCATGTGGCCCCAACAGCTGCTGCTGCAGCTGGTGAGTGAGGGCTGTGCAGGAGAGGTGGGGGAAGAACAAGCGGGATGGCTGGGGGAGCGACAGGGGATGGGCTGGGCGGGGTCCCCCCATGGTCCCCTGCCCCCAATTCCCTACTTACCTGGCATGGAGCCCGGCTCCAGGTTCCCACTACCTGCACTGCTGCTTGCCCAATACAAGCAGGCAGCATGCTTCAGCTCGGAGGCAAGGGCCAGCCATAGAAGGTGCTGTGGCTGGCTACCAGAGCATCTCTGTGGAGTACTTGGGCTCTGGTTGGGCTCTGGTTGCCTGCCCTGCTTTTCTTCTCTGGAGTATTTTTTGATACCTGAATCTCCAGATATCAAATTTTGAGCCTGTGCTGCAAATTTGCAGCGCAGGGAACGATTTTTGTTCTCAGTGTGCATCTTGCGGTGTCTCAAAGGAGTCTCTCTTTTGAGATGCTGCAAGAGGCACATGCGCGTCTGTGTAGATGTGCCCCAGGAGGAATTACACTGAAAGGAAGTGTATAGGTCTTTAGTCTCCCAGGAGAAACTCTCCTGTGTAAGAGCCGACTCTGTGGGTGTTCCAGGGCTCAAGCCCCAGCCTGAAAAATATTAACAGTTGCTTAGCACCCACAAGCCATGTAGGGCAAGCCAGGTTGAAGTATTGCACTGCGTCTTCTGGGCATGCGCAGGGCTTGATGCAGAAATGAGGGGGGAAGCACCTACTGGCAAAAAAGGAAGTTGGCACCTGTGCTCTCCTGAGACCAATTTAATCTTGACTGCTGCTAGGTTATTTTTCTCCTGGAGTAGCCATTTCTGCTCTGGGAGAAAAAACATGAAGATCTGTATACTTGTGGTGTCTACCAGGAGAATTGTGATTCTCCCAGTAGAAACTGACCATCTGTACATAGCCTTAAATCCACACACATTTCCTTAAGCACTGTTTATCTTTCTTTTCAGTTATTGATACCTCTGGCATCTGATGAACTCTCCAGAGGTTGGACAAAATGGTGAGTAAAATGTCATTTTTTTTTTTCCAAATAACATAGTTGTATTTTAAATAACTCCTTCACTCTTTCCCTTTTTAGGTATGATTTGACAGAAGAAGGTACAAAGCCACATGTTGCAACCTAGACATCCATGGACCCCAGGATTTCACCCAGCAGACTTTTGCCAACCTTTATATATTTTAAAAGCATTGCTCCCACAGATGTACGAATATTATTTTTATAGCTTCATTGATTTTAGTTATTATACACACCTCAGTAGTTTTAAAATACTTGTTCATTTTATGTCAACTTAGCCAATCTTATTGTTAAACTTTGTATTTTAATTTGCTAAACTATTTTACACGTTACTGTAATGTGCAATAGTACAGTAGAGTAACCTCTTGTGTTTAAATTGAACTTTATGGCTGTTGTACCTTTCAGAAAGTGAAAGTGGTTGTTCCATTGTTTACCTGTTTGTTTTGTATATCATCAAGATATACTGCATTGTGTAAATATATACTATTTTTTTAATAATTCTTCCACGGTGTTTTAAAGTTAGAAGAAAATTAGATCAAGGGCATAAATATTTCCTCTAAATGCATGCTAAATTCTTTGACAAATATTTCTTTTTTTCTTTTTTTTTTGTCTTTGCAGCAAAATGGTTTTAAGATAAATATTTTGAAGGTTTTTCTTTTTCCTTTTTTCTTTCTTTTTTTTTTTTTTTTTTTTTTTTAAAGCCTGAAAGACTTTAAAAAGTCTAATTATTAAGATTAGACAGTGCGTTTCTGGCCTAGTAAGGCTAGGAAAAAGAAAATGTAAAAACCATAACATTTTAATATTTATATAGAAATATGTTATTGGAAAGTCATTCTAGAGAATATTATAAACAAAGTTGTTTAGAGCTGAGAATTCTATAAATATTGTATAAAAGAAGATTGTCCTAAATCATGATATATAAATCTGGGTTTTCATTTGATGTAGAAGTGAACACTTATAAACAGTACAATATTTTATTATGGAGATTCGCTTATTAATCCTTTTTGCTATTTATTCCCATAACTCATAATACCAGACACGTGACCTTTTGAAGCTATGACAAGGACAATGACCTCCCGTGTTAGAACCTGGTCTCATAACTAACCACTTAAAGAAGTTTCCTAACTTCATTGTCATTGCATTGACTAATAAGTCATATGAAGTCATCTGTAATTCAGGCTCACCAAACAGATCACTGGTGGTTTTATTATACTGAATACTGTATAAAGAAGAATAGAAAAGGGAGAGAATGAAAAAAAAATCCTGAGTTGAAACTCTTTCTACAGTTGCCTCAAAGGTACCAGGTGCCTGAGGTAACACCCTTTCAGTACACCATCTTTTAGGTAGATTCCTTGTGAAATACTGGTGTTCCAGAGAAACATTACCATAGTCTGCTGCAAGAGCAGAGTAATTCATGCACCCCAAGCGGAAAGTAGCCAAATGAGAAATGAGGCCAGAGTATCACCATAAACATTGAGTTTCCTGCAGTTTATTGGTTTGTGCCACTACAACCTTAAGGTTATGAATCACAGGGAGATTTGTTTGTATAAAATTAGTTTTCCATTTTGTAAGCTTTCTCAGACTGTTATAAAAATGTACATTATGAATACAGGAAACCAGACCAGCTCCTTCAGAGCTGCTAGCCTCATGATCTTGGGTAAATATGCAATTAGCCATGAGAAGTATATTATTCAGTCAGGATCTAGAAAATCTCTCAGCCGAGAAAGAACTTTTAAGTCAGAATAATAATCTCCTGAAAAAATTAGCTTTATAATGACATTACTGACAGAACCTTAATTCTAGGTGTAGAATATACCTACATTGCTAGATATACCAAAGTGCCTACCATAGATGTATCCTGTTGTCTATCAAAATTATGAATTAACTAATTTTAGTTTGATGTCAGTCTGTTTTGTTTTCACATGGCATATCTGTTACACATGTGTGCATGCACACATACACACACACCTGCAGACCTGTTTACAGTAGTAGCCTTTTATAGTGAAGTTGTTTTATTTTATAGAATGGGAAGTTTTGCCTGTGTATAGACTGCAAGATTGGACTGTGGAGACAGGGGCTCGTTACGCCCATAAGAATGTATGGTATTTCCCAGTTGTTGGGGGTCACTAAGAAAGGCTTCAGTCTGTATCGGGGTTATGTATAAATATGTATACACACTCATCTATACACATACAATGGACTATATTCTGATATATAACTTTCCTTGTGGAATAGTTATCTGTTTAAACTTTAATGGAAAGAGGGACAGAGAGAATTGCTGTAGATGTAAATGAAGGCATAGGAAGGAAAATGTGATGTAAATAAGTGAAATATAAATCAGTGACATGTGTCTTTTGCTTGAGTTCAGCCCCCTGCAAGGAAAGATTTTTGGAGTATATCTAGGTGACAACAATGGATAACTCCATGACCAGTGACACCAATGGGTTCATTCCTTAGCTAAAATTAATCTCCTAGCCTTGTTCTCTGCTGTAAGTCTAAGTGTTCAAAGACAAAAAAGCTGCACATTTTGCCTTCTGTATTCCATAAGGGGAAAATGCTGTGTTTATGTAAAAGATGGGATGGTAGCATAAATGCACTGAGTTGATTATAGAATTTGCAAGTCAGACTTTGAGAGTGGCTCAGCATCCCTAATTGGACATGATTCTCAAGAGAACCTGGCTTCCATGTGGGTGTCTAACCTGAAGAGGGCATGTCTTCAACATAGTTGAGCACATAAGGCTCCTATTGCCAGTAGTCCTACTGGGCACTGAGCTCTTCTGAAAATGTTACTTTGGATGAATACAGGGTCAGATTAAGAACCGGTACTCCACCCACAGTAACAGAAACAAATCTTGCAGTGTGATAGTTAGAGTAAAACATGGCTCCTTCTTAATGCTGAAGTGGGAGAGAAGGACATGAAGATGCATCAGTTTTCCCTTTGGGCCCAAAAACCTGTCTGATTAGCAAGTCCAGGTTTGCATGTCAGCTAATTAGCTTCTGTGTGGTTTGTTTCTTTATCCTGTGCCTTATTTCATGAACATGTAAAGGTGTTTAAACCATTGTTTAAGAAACAAAATCAAGCCTTGCTAGTTGTATTTACTGACATTGGAACAGTTTTGAGAAGTGCTATGCTTTGCTGACAGGAAAACCCACACTCAGTTTGTGTAGTTTATGCTTAGATCATCTTGTGTCCCTTGGATTTGTGTTAAGGGGATTAATCTTTTGTTTTGAATCCTTCATCAGAGCTGCAGCAACTGGTGAGTTGAAATGAGAACAAAGGGTAATCAGTTTTGTTGCATATTGCTTTTTTTGCTCATGTAATTCTACGTTATGATGCATGTATTTATTCAATAAACAATTCATCTGGAAGTCCATGTGTTGCATTTCCATTTTGTGCAGGTCCCTGCAATAGTTCAGTATCTTCAAAAAGTGTCTGTACATTTTCTCAACCAATACAGCGCTTAGAATCATAGAATCACTGAGTTGGAAGGGACCTAGACAGATCATCTAGTCCAACCCCCTGCCATGGGCAGGAAGGAGCACTGGGGGAGGGGGGAGTTATAAGACCCCAGCCAGGTGCCTATCCAGTCTCCTCTTGAAGATGTCCAGAGAAGCTGAGAGCACCACCTCTCTGGGCAGCCTATTCCAGGCTCTGGCCACCCTTACAGTGAAGTAGTTCTTCCTAATATCTAACCTAAATTTATCCTCCCTCAGCTTGTGGCCATTGTTCCTGGTGACTCCAAGGGGGGCCCTGGTGAACTTCTGGTTTACTTCTCTAAGGTGGGTGTGTATCTAGTTTACTTCTCTAAGGTGGGTGTGTATCTATTATCTGATTTTCATGGAAAAACAGAGAGGGCATATGATTTGCCCAAGGCCTTCCTGCTTATTACTAAACTGGGGTTAAAAGCAAGGCTTTAGTTTTTAGACCCATTATTCAGTGCTCTTAATTTCTGCTTTCTCCCAAAATTAGAAACTGAAGAAGAGAACTGTCAGAATTGTAATATGTTCTATGCTTCTGTTAGTCTTCACTTCCTGGAAGGATACTGCGAGGTGAGAGAGACTTTGAAGAACAGGAAAATAAAATGATAACTTGTTAAATATGTATTTTAGCTGTAAAAATAAGAACCTGTTTTGAAATCCTCAGGGTCTGTTTTTTAATGACCTAATTTAAGTTGCAACTGAGAATTAGATTATTCAATAATTTTTTTAAAACACTACTGGGTGTTCCTGTCTAATTATAGCATGTTCCCCATTATAGCTGGTAATGAAGAAGAGGCCAATGTGGGACTGAGGTAGGGATTAGTGTTAAATTCTGTGAGTTAGTAGCAGTGTAATTACTATACTGCATTGGACTTAAGGTCCACCTTGTCTCTCATAGTAACAGTATCATATGCATCCAGGGAAGAGAGAGGCAGATATGGATTAATAGCCTCCACATTAGGTCTTACTCTAAAGTTTATTAGAGAATGGCATAAGCTCTGAAACCTGACATACGTCGCGTCCAAATCTTTGACAATACTTCATGTTTCATGGCTACTTAGTTTCTTTACTAGTCTTTTGTAACAGGCCTTTTCGAAGGCCTTTTGGAAGTTTAAGTAAATTATCAAAACCCTTTTTTTCTTTGTCCACTATTTCATTTGACATTGTAAAACAACTGTTTCCTCCTAATTTGAAATATCAGGTTTTTTTTCAGGAAAACTTTCCTACACATGTAATTCTGACATTTCAAACTCTAAGGGCGCCTCTGCAGGTTGCTCCATGACAACATAGTGATGAGCTACATCACCATATGGTATGCTACAGCAACATAGCAATCATGTGGGTCTACATATGATTGCCAGCTATGTCACCGTAGTGGCATGCTCCCTTGGTATAGCACACTACTGTGACAGTGTAGCAGCAAAACTAACCATGCACCATGTGCATGGTGCAGTACCCATGTATATGTTTCCTAATACTTTGCTAATATGAAGTCAGATTGTGTTGTGTTACTACAATAACAGTTCAGGAAAGGAGAAGGGGAGCAGCAAAGTTCAGTGTAAAGACTGTTGCTTGTGACGTGTCCCAAAAATAGCTGTTTTATAAAAGCTTCAGCACTCGGTCAGTATTTACTCCTTAGACAATTATTTCCCAGAGAAGAATGAAAAAAATGAGTTTGCTGTAGAAGTACAGTTACAGAACAATAGTTGTTGCTGTTCAAGTACAGTATGAAGAAATAGTATTGCAATATTTTTTCAAAAGCTAGTACAAATGCAATGGTTATCAAATTGGTTGAAAAACTTGAGAAACTGAGGCATAATTCAGTGCTTCATTGAAAGTTTGAGAAATTATTAGAATTCAGCACATTGTCATATTCAGCTGCATCAATCAAAAAAATGGGTGCTTATCAAAGCTGTCAACTAACAGCTGGTTTAGCCGTTAGCTAACCAGATGCTTAAAAACCACTTGCATTCCATTTTACAGTAATCATGAGTGATAATTTTACAGTTTATTGTGCAGTTTCTTTCTACTGCTAGCTAACAAGTGTTTATTGATTCTGGTTGGGAAGATGGTTGTAATATCTTAAACCAATTACTTCGATAGGTAAGTTTTACTGGTGCATTTAAAGAATTGAATTAGAGTAGATTAAACAACACCTATAATAAAAACACATTCATAAAAGATAATATGTTTTATACAAAGGAAAAAAGGATTTGACAGTAATGGAGACTATAAAGTTTTACTGTTTCACAGGGGTGAATGAAATTTCTCACATAAAGTGCTTCTATGTAGAAGTTTGCAGAATAATAAACTTGGTTTAGATTCCTGAAAAAATGTTGTGATCAGAACTCTACCTTTGTTCAGAAAAAAAACCTTTGATGGCATCATAAGCAAGCTTTTTCCACTTGTCTAGTGATGTTTAGAATAAACTTCATGCCACAGGTAACTGGTGCCTCCCGAGTCTGGGGAGGCACCAGACTGCCAATGGGGGGTGGTTCCCCAGCACAGCCAATTGCCAAGCCAGCGGCAAAACCAAAAGTGCACTTCCTTCCAGTTTTGCAGCTGGCACTTCCAGGGGATGCACAGCTGATCTCAGGGGGTGCACATGAACCCGCAAGCACCCCCCACACATTGCCAATTATTGCTTCATGCTATCAGAACTTTTAGCTCCATATTAAGATTGTGACCTATGATGGACCATTTAAACAAACCGATTTCAGTGGCATGTAGCCATTAACAAGGGGAACTTAGTTGGATGTGGAATGAGACAATTACAATGCTCTTGGGTAGTCTTAAGACTTAAAGACCATTTCAAGGAAAGAAATTTGCATTTGTGATTATTCTTACTCATCTTCTTCAGCAAGATATTTCACACGCAAGTGCCTGTGTGGTGTTCACACTTCATGGTATTCAGCTGTTTCCTAGATTTGAGGACAGAGTTTGGATATCTTTTTACGGTTCACCAGTTTTGTGATGTTCAAGATGTTTACAAGGATAGATTACACCAGATAAAGACTGTTTTGTTAGTAGGACAGATTTGACCAGACTGCTGGAAGGAAATAATGCTTTATGATGGCCATGGAGCATGACTAGTGCATTTATGCCTGTAACAGGACAGTCTGTCCCTTTGAGAAGGAACAGCTGGCCTTGTTCAGAAAGTCCAGCTTTGGGACATTTTCAACACGGGGGAGTGTTCCACAGGGATCTCTAAAGGCACCCAGAAAAGAAATCGAGGGAGACAAAGAAGCAAGTTGTGAACAGAACAGCTTGCTGCAAGGAGGGACTGGGTTACTGCAGGCTACAAGGAGAAGCCAGAGCAGAAAGGGGTTTTCTTCTAGTATTGTGGAGAGGACATGGAGATTTTGTATTATTTGTTCACTTAAAGAAGAACTGCCTGAGGAGCTAATTAGGGAGTGAATTCTCCTGCAAAACCAGGTGGCTAAGTGACCTGCTTACAATGCCCAACAGAAAGCACTGCTGTTGGTGATGTGCTCGTTTCCTGGCTGGTACTTTAAAAAAAAAAAAAAAATTGTAATGATCACAGGTCTTCATGTTAATGAGCCAGTGCTTCTTCCTATCCAACCAAACCATTTGAACAAAAAATTTTACTTTCTTTACAGAAAAGTTGCATTCATTCTATTTGGACACAACAACTTAAATGTTCAGAAAACCTATGGAAAATCGAGCAGTATAACCTGGTAAGAGAGACGATGGCTTTTAAGTAATTTGGCTAATTTGCTTAAGAGGTTTCTGATCCATGTTGGTAATGTAAGGAAAAAAGTAGTCTCTGTATTTTATGGGTTTTAATAACAGTCCATAAAAAATAAACTTAAAAATAGAACAAATTTACCATAAATGTTCTATGATAACCATCCACTAAAGTAATAATTGTACAGCAGACTTGCCCCATCCAGGTCACCATTAGAATCAAATAAAAAAATCAGTGTCTTAATAGTGTTCTACAGTTGTTTGTATGCCCGTGGTATGACATTAACACACATTTACATTCATGCCTTAACAATTAGAGAAAAATGATAATGGGAGCTGTCTCCAAGTTTTCAAAATAGAAAAAAAGAAACATTCCTATTTTAACTTGCATGGCCTTTTGACTTGCATCAGACTCTAAGCAATTTAAGGGATGAGGAAATGGTGTTAGTAATAATCTGTAGCGCACAGTTAAGGTCTTCCAGGCACTCAGTCTGGTCATAGTAACCTGTGTTGTCCTTGGCTCCTTGTTTTGTTTGAGCATCTTCAGAAAATACTAATATTAGCTTCTCTGTGTTTTGCTTGTTTAAAACACCATCCTCTCTTCTGTGTTCATCTTGAGCAAAACATGATTCTGGGTCGTTGTGAAAAGATCCTCCTTTTAAACTGGCACACTCTGCTGTTCATCACTGCAAACACAAGAAATGTGAGCTTCAGACACAGAGTGGGGTAAACAGGAAGCAATTCTGAGGAAACTTCTGCATACCATTTTTAGGAGTTGGAGAGTACCAGATGGACCAAGTGAGTGGAGGAAGGCAAGAACATGGTCATGAGAATAAGAAGACACTGCCCTTTGCCCAAATGCTGATATTTTAATGCATCATCTTAACGTTTCTTAAAACAAATGTTGCCTCATAGCAACTGTTTCATCACTTCTTCACCAGAGGATACAAAATGCTGAACTACTCATTGCAGCATTCACTTGAGGACTGATTACCATATTTTCTTGAATACCACGTGCCCCAGAATATAATATGCATCTTGTTTTTGAAAAGCAGAATAAAGTTTAAAATATTTTTCAGAGTTATGGCCGCATAGAGCAGGGACAGAAACTAATCTTCAGCTGACTCAACGTCCTTTTCCTACTTAACTAAAGATGAAACCCTAGCTTCTGCTCCTAAATTCTG